CTCCAAAAGCCCTAAACCCTAAGCCCTTCCAAGAGGCTCCAGCTACGGCCGACTCCCGGGGGAACGGTTCGCTCGGCTGTTGCTCCCCACCGTGGACGGGCCACTCAACTGCCTTAGGGTTTGGGGTTTAGGGTTCAGGGTTTAGGGTTTAGGGTTTAGGGTTTGGGGTTTAGGGGTGACTTTAGGGTTTGGGGTTCGGAGGCTCTGGAGGGTACTATAGGATTGTGGGGGGGGCTCCTTATTATGCTTATAGTAGACTCCCTATTCTAATGATGAAGGCCCCTAGCTATATTATTATAGGGCTTAGGGCTAGGATTTTGAAGGTTCAGGTGCTGGGGTTAGGAGTTGGGGTTTAGGACGGTCTTGGGGTGAGGGTCTGGGAGTCTTTAGGGGCCTAAATGACAAAAATGGAGAAACAGCTTAGAAGATTCGGTTGCTGGTGTTGTTATCACAATAATACAAAGTTTTCTCTTCGATGGCGACAGTCTTAGAGAGTTGTTTGTTGGTTTTGTTTGCACAGTAATAGTTCATAGGGCTCTCATATGCTTCTTGTTGATCAGGTGTCAACTCAAAGTGTCTGACTTCATGTTCTGCAAGGGTTAGTGTTAGTGCTTCTAGAGTTGGTCTATGTCGTTGCTTTGGGGGGGCTTACAGTGGTCATCTGTTACAGATGACCCATGTTCCCAACACCGACAAGAAGAAACACCGTTCATTGGGCCTTAAACCCTTCTCGGAAGACCATGAAAGAAGTGTTGGCCTCTTGCGTTGACGGGCCGATACTCTCTTTGAACGGTGCACGTTGTCAAACTGCTTGGGCATATGCTGGGTTGATTAGGCCCCCGCTCCGTTTACGGATACCCGGCCTACTCAAGCGTTGAGGAGGAATCGCAAGTTCCGTGATCCCGAAGACTCCAAAATGGCCCAAGGTAAGCCCCAAAGTTCTGCCTTCTACACTTAAAGCATGGAGTCTTAGGGGTGTTGGAGACGCTGATATAACGGCATGAACGTGGGGGGGGGGGTGGGGGGGCTAAGGATTCTGTTTGCTTAGAAGCTTAGGGTTTAGGGTTTAGGGTTTATTGGCCCGCTGCTAGAGGAGCCCGGAGCCTTCACATCGGCACGAGGAACACAAGAGGATGCTAGCTCCTGGAAAGAGATCTCAAGTATGGCATGTAGGAGCCTTAAGAATATTAGTAGGGCTTCGGGATCCTTTATAACATAATTACAGTAGGGAGCGCTAAGGAGCAGTATTGCTAATCATTTAGGCCCCTACAATACCGGTTGTTGGCTTATGAGTTGTGACGTGGCTTGCAAGCTACTTCTATTTTTTGCTGGAAATCATTTAATTCCGATAAAAAAGCAAAAATA